TCCTGGAGTTGAGGACAGATCATTGGTGTTGTTGCTGCTGCTGCTGCTGCTGCTACTACTACCCCCCGGACCCCCCAGGCCGTTCACCCGATTCACGTTCCCGGCCACAAGAGTCGACGACGACCCGATCCCCAATTCCGATCCACAATGTCCGGTCCCGGCTACTCCGCTGCCCGCCCCGCCGGGACCCCCAGCCCCGGGGGACCCCGACAACTTCTGCTTCTTCACCCCGCAGCACCCTGCCGCCATCTTCGAACAATCTGCACCAACACACCGCTTCCGACCCATCACCGTCACCGCGGGAAGGGCGGGCCGAAACGCAGACCACACGTAGAAATCCCACTGCGTCAGCACGTACGACGGACAATGCTCCACCTTCCCTTGCTTTAACGGACGTAATAACCGAGAGGAGCGTACGTTATATCTCTCCGAGGAGAGAGACTGCAATGTCACCCGATAGTTTTCCTTTGAAAAGACGTAGCGTACGCTGCAGCCTTACGTAATGTTCTCAGGGAGACAAATTAAAGGCTTCGACGGACCCAATGTGTGTTTGCTAGAGTAACAGCCCCTTCTTGGGATGCGCTGTGCCAACTGCAACGATGCACGCAGGATTCTGTCAAAGCATGCACGCGTCCATCCATACATGAACGACAGTCAGGCTAGGCAAATATGTGGCCTGTAGAGTCAGGTGTTCCTCTGAGGGAGCGGGGACCTCGAGTACGCCTCACCCGATAAGCGACGCAGTCAGAGCGGCTTTCAGTCGATGCGGTTCGGCTGTGTGCGTGATAGCACCATAGCCACACGACCTGCTTTAACGTAAACCGAGCCCAAAAGTTTTCCTTCGACGTATCGGAGCGCTGTCATCCGATTATTTGGGTGCATTTTCGCGCGGCATAATAGCATGGCCTCCGTCAGACGCGGATTCCCCCGGTCTCGCTGCTGCTAACATTAGCTCGGTTGCGGTGGAGAAAATATCCTACGCGATCATCTGAAGCGCTCGGACTAGTATTCTCTACTTTCACGCCGGAGTAGAGCCCAGGACGTAGTTTACGACAGATTCCTGCGTGTCATACGCATTTCTCCCTATTCACGAACTACGCTATCACGGCGCCGTTTCTCCGCCGAGGGAGGGACGCAGACATCCCGCATTTGTTGTTCGCATAAATCCGTTTATGGTCTCGTCCTCCTTGGTTCAAGTCTTCGACCTGATGGAGAAAGAACGGAGCTGTTAGACGGCACCGTGGCCCAGCAGCCCGTCTGTGACCGAAAAGCGTATGTTCTGGTCACCGAACAAGCCGAAGTGATGTATAGAGTCTGCGCTCTTTCTTTTTTTATTTCCAAACTCGCCAGACAATAGGAATGTCCTCACCCTGTCTAAACGCGCACACCCACGGCAATGGAAACCCTAGAAATATTAGGGGATTTTAAAATGAGGGAGGGCTATTTTTCCAGAAAAATATTGGAATTTAATACCACTTCAAAATGTCTTGATAGTTTCTAGAACATTTGTGACCTTGAACCACAAAACCAGTCAGAAGTGTCAGTTCTTTTTAATTAAGTCCTTGCATATTACTAATCAAAAATTAAGTTTTGATATATTTACGGTAGGAAATTTACAAAAAATCTTCATGGAACATGATCTTTACTTAATATCCTAATGATTTTTGGTATACAATAAAAATCGATCATTTTGACCCATACAATGTATTGTTGGCTATTGCTACAAATATATCCGTGCAACATAAGACTGCTTTTGTGCTCCAGGGTCATATTTGTTTTTAGTGTGTGGCCATCAAAGACCTGGCAGAAAATATCATTAAGAAAATCAGAACAAACACAGAAATGTTTTCTGCACCTTCTGTGCTTGAACACCTATAGAAAGGCTATATTTGTATAAAAAAATAATTTGGCACACTGTTATTTAATATTGAAGTGATCTGTTTTTTTATGCCAAAAATGTATGCAAAAATACTGTTTATTACATTGATTATATTATGATAGTGACAATGGAGAAGGGAGGATGTGGTGTTTCTCAGTGATCACAATGGTTTATAGGTAGATCATTTATAAATAAATGCATAATTACTGCTAGAGCAAAAAAAAAAAAGTTATGATGAAAAACAGTCTTTAAGATTCTGTAGGCCATAAAATGATTTTTTGCTGTTGTATGAAAGCAGCAAAGCACAAACAAAACTAGGCTACTAATGAAACTGAAATATCTGACATTTTTTGAAAATGCTGACAAGGTTACAAAGACATTTAAAGCACTAAGAAAGCATTATGCAGATGTCCTGCCATTGTAGGAGTAATTTCTTGATGACAGTGTTGTTTTGTCACGCTGAGTTGCACAGACTAAAATCAGAGGACACAGTGATCTTTGTTTTCTTAAATAAATAATAATAAAAATAAAGAAAATAAGCAAATACTTGATATGAAAAAATACTTTTATTCTCTCACTAAATGTGGTCAAGATTTATCCAAATATTCCTAATACTTAGCTATTCCCAAAGTGTGAAAATAAAGAAAACATCAGAAAATACATGCATGTTTAAAAAAAAAAGAAATTTCTGTTCATGTAAATTAGTTTATAACTTAGTAACACATTATGCGTTTGCGTTATATTAAACAGTTCGTGAACATCCAAAATGAATAGCCATGAAATTATGAATACTGAAATCTTGAACTATTTGAATGTATAAAACTAATAATCTGTTAAGTATGATAATGTATGTTTAGAAATCATGTGTATTGTTTGTGGGTAAATATAGCTAGAAACGATATAATCTTACAATAATGTTATTTTTATTTAAAAAAAAAAAGTAATATGTAACTACAACAATTATGGTATTTAGACTGGATTAACCTCTATTTAAACTGTGGGCTTTCACACAGGCTTTGTTTGGCAGGGGAAGAGCTGGCCTCAAAATTAAAGGTGAATGACGCAGACAAAACACCAGCAGCGGTCACTCATACTTCATCAAATAAGTAACAGTTACCTTTGACTGAAATACATAATAAACAGTTTTGACAGTGGCCTACATGGATTGTGTTGCTAAGGGAGTTGTACAGTGATAAGCAGATGTGTTCAGTGAAGCTTTTATAATCGTATTTAAAATGATTAAAATATATGTAAAGATGTATTAATACTTAATGCATTATTTAAGTTAAAATTAAGTTAAAACATGCTAAATTTACAATGTAAGATGGCAGAATTGTGCCATCTGGTGGGGAAAAAATTCTAAGTCAAACGTAATGTCACTGGATGCAACAAATGCCTCGTTTGTAATGGGTTTTCATGTTTTTGGCTCGTTGCTCCGGCCTGACACAGCATCACAGTATGGTGAGGGGTGTAACATTTCCGTCACACGCTTGAGGTATTCGGCCAATCACAACGCACTGGATAGCTGGCCAATCACAGCACACCTCGCTTTTCAGACCGATGAGCTTTGTAAAAATCGACGCGTTTCAGAAAGGCGGGGCATAGAGGAGAAACAATAATGTACAGTATGTGGAAAATAATATGTTTTTTTAACGTTAAACCGCATAAACACATTTCATTACACCAAATACACAAAATAATGTTCTTTTTAGCAGCATCATATGACCCCTTTAACCACCAGAAGACTGTAGGTCCCTTATATATATATAGATACATACAGCGATATGTACAGTAGGCTAATAGTTTTTGAGATGATTACCAGATTTTACCTCTCATTATTAAGCTGTAGGATATATCGGATAAATCGCCATCTTGGCTGTATTATGCCCCATAAATTGAATTTAACTCTAAGAAAAAAAAAAAGTTTAAAACATGGGGAAAATACTACAAAACAATAGACTGCATCTCATTTGGAATTTTAAAATATCTAGCCAAAAATGTTTGATAAATGGACAACTCCAAAACAGGATGAACGACAATTTCAACAAAATCATCACAAAAGGAGCAAGAGTAAAGAGAAAATATCGTTTTTAAACTTTTTCATATAGGCTACTAGTTTGCAGGGTAGGCTTGTAAATTATTTTATAAGAAATGTTTACTTTGTTGGTTAAGAACAAATATGTGGAAGCATCCACACTTTTTCCAACATATGCTGCCTGCATTACTCCAATAAGCACTGACAGATGGTATTATATCCTACTTGAATAATGAGCGGACTATCCTATTAATTTTGCAAGAAGCAAAGATACATATCATAGGCATACATACAACGTGACGGTACAACTTTTTAAAATCGAACGTTATTTGTGCCAGAAAAATGAACAATAATAATTAATAATTCGATAAATATATAATATAGAAATTTCTCCTGACAGGAAATCATTATCATTAAGACAATGCAGTATCAATTATTATGACGCAATACCGCCGCTCCCTATACGCAGAGTACGCAGTTTGCGTAGGGCACCAACTCCCAGTTGCTCAAAAAAAAACTTCCGTTCTGTATTAATATTAACATACACCAAAAAAAAAAAAAATTATATATATATGCATTTGACGGTGAACGCGGTAGGCTAAGCACACGTGACGCGGCATTCCCGAATCCGCGCCGAGAAAAGACAAAGAAAAGGAAAAAGCCCAAGACTAAGATCACTTTCAGTTTCAGGTACGTTCATAATCCTGTGAACCCTTTTTGGCTGTTGATATAAATAACCTGTTTTAATGTCACCAACGCATCTAATATTCTCTCCGAGTTTCCATGTTCCCTAATTAGCCATGGTTTTACTACGAATAAAAAACAAAAATCATGGTTCTTGTAGTGGTTTTGGTACTTCAAATAATAATTTACAAAGACGTATTCAGATAATATTGGTGTGTGTGTGTGTGTGTGTGTGTGGTAATAAAAACAGACCTAAGCGAACCACAGCCTTTAAAACGACTTAAAATGGACTAAAAACAATGAGGCAACAATGATTGGTTAATTAATTATAATTATATGGTTTCGTTGAATGACAGTTAAAAAATACATAATGTAATACAAAATAAACAATTTATGTACATTACATATGATTACAAATGCCTGCAAAGGGCGCCAAAGGCTTGGTAATTGCTGTTTGTTGCACTTGCAAGACGATCAACACTTTGTTTAATATTGACCAAACATTTAATTCAAATATCCACTTAATCTTTCATTTTTGGCCACTTTTTCGCGATAGAAATGCTACAGCCTCTATCATTTAAAAAAATTAACCGTGGTTTTATCGTATTAAAACTGCTTAATTTCTTTTGTGTGATTTCTATAAAAGAGACT